GGAAGCGGGGTGGCGCTCCCTGGCGCTCCTCGGTTGGGGTTTTCGCAGGGCCGCCCCTTCCCCTCCCCTGCCCCCGCTGCGGTCTGTGCCGGCACGGCTCCGGGGGCCCGGCACGCCTGATGTCAGCTTCCTCCGTGGGCGCGGCTGGGGAGGAATGTGCCGCTCCCAGCCCCGGCACAGGTAATTCATCCCCACTGCTGACAGGCGGCAACAGGCGGCCGGTGGCCGGGCTCGCCATGGTGCATGGCGTGGGAGGCTCTTCGGGGCTCGCCCAGCAGCCCTTCCGGGACGCTGCCGGCGGAGTGAGCGCGGGGGCGGGGGACGTGGGCCAGCCGTGGGCTCGGGCTTTCTGGGCAGTCCTCGGAGGGCACAACGTCCTGGCACGCCCGGGCCGCTTCTTGGAACGGACCGCCTTTGTGTTGGGAGCGTGGCAGAGCGGGCGAGATCGGTGGCGCGCTCTTTCGCTCCGTGGCGCAGTGCAGGCTGTGCCTCAGCCGATCCGGATGCGCCCCTTCCCGGGACCTGTCCCTTTGGGTGACTCTGGCACCCCTGGCCCGGCGTCCCCCTCGTGGAGCTGCATTTCGTGGGTTGCATTCCTGTCTGGTCACTGATGCAGTTAGCAGTCACAGCGCTGCTTAGTAAGGCTGCCGTTCCGCTCTAGTCCCTTCTTGTGACCACCGCCGGGGCCACCCTGCACATCGGCAGAGGAGTGCTCTCTGCAAGAGACCTGCTTGCACATGGCCACCTGGAGGGGCCTGCTTTGCCCCCTGCCGGTCTTTGGGCTGCCTGTGGGGAGACACGGCGGGGTACCGGCTCCGTGGCTGCTACCTTGGAGCCCCTTCCTGGCCACGCTCCTTTGGAGAAGCCTCCCGGCCTGGCCCTCTTCAGGGGGTTGGGTGGCCACTCCCCTGACAGCCCAGCCAGCCAGAGAGTTGCATGTGCCCCGTACCCCCAGAGAGCCCTGGCTTTTCATACTCCTTCCTCTGCTTCGCCTTCCCTTTCTTCTTCTTGTCGCATTGCAGTTCCATCCCGCCGGCTTCCCCCTCGCAAGGAACCCGAGGAAGCCTGCAAGCGCCGCCTCCTCTCCGCCCGATGCTCACAACAGCCCTGCGAGGGAGGAGGGGCTTGGAGCCCCAGCCTGGCCCACCCTCGCCCAGGGAGGCTCATCGCTGGGGGGGGGGACTGGAACCCACGGCCCCCACCTCTCTCGCCCCGCGGGCTCTCTTGTCTTCTCCCTTTTGTTGCGAGTTACTCTTTAAGCAGTTGTTGTAAGCCCCACAAAGTCATCCTTAAATAAGAAAGATAGGCACAAATATTTTAAATAAACACGGGGTGATTTCTTATGGTATGTGAGTGTTTGACTGTAGGACAGGGTGTGACGCGTCTTTGCAGCAGCCAGAGAAAGGGAGTCCGGAGGCGGAGGGGGCCGCGTGGGGCTCCGAGCTCCGTGGAGGGCGTGAGACTCGATCCAGGGGCTTGTGGATGCATCCCGGCTCGTTGCTGCCAGTGGTAGCCCAGTTGCCACTGAGGTGGCCCACTCGCCTCCAGGCCTGGGGGTGGAACCTGGAGCCCCCCCCCCCCCCCCCACACAGCTCACCGTATCCTGGTGTGTGGTCAGCAGAAGTGTGCTTTGTTCGCAGAGGTAGACAGACAAATTAGACCACCCCCCTCTCCCCCCCAGAGATAGCCAGGCTGGAGCACAGCAAGTGGGTGGTCCCACCGCAAAACTGGGAGTGGCTCGCCCCCAGAGAGACCAGATTCCTCGCTGCGCGCGACACCCGATTCGTCCCTCGTGCCCATTCTCGGGCCGCCACCTCCGTGTCCGGGTGGCGCGCTGGCGGCGTTCGGGTCCACGCGGCGCCCGCCTGGCTCTTGGCGCCTGCAGGACACCCTGGCTCCCGACGCGGGCGCCTCCCCCGGCAAAAGTCCAAGCGCAGGGGCTGCTCGGACCGAGAGGTCCCGCCTGGGCTGGACTTGAGGCAGGGGACCCGTCCTGGGTCGTGGGCCCGGGTCACCGGGTGGTCCGCACAGCCCGCCCGTCGATGGCCACGGCTCTTGGGCCCACGGGCGCCTCTGGGGAAAAGAGGCCGGCACGCCGAGAGCGGAGCGCCTCGCTTCGTCCGCCGCTCTTGCTCCGAAAGCAAAGAGCCAAGGACGGCCGGCCGTCGCGCCGTGCTGGCCGGCCCTTGAAAGCGTTTGTCGAGAGGCCCAAAGGAGGGAGTGGGAGGGCGGAAGCAGGGGGGCGGGGGGGAATCGGGCAGCTGTGCGCCCAGGGTGCCCGGCACGGCCCGTGCGTGCGGGGTGGGGGGGCTGCGCCCGCTCGCCTGGGTGCCGATGGCACGCGCTGCTGTGGCCGCTTTCCGCGGGCAGGTGGGGAGGGCGAGCAGGGCCCCCAGAACGCTGCTGCTCCTCGTGTTCCTTGCAAGCCGTGTGATCGGGGCAGAGGAGGCCGCAGCGGACCTCGGCCGACCCGGGAACGGTGTGCCTGAGAGCACCAAGGAGGGGGTGGGGAGGCACGGGATGCCCACGGAATAGTTGGGAATGCCCATGGAAGAGTCCTGCCGCGCCGTGGATGGAAAGGTGGCTTGGCATACTGGCGGCTCCCCCGTCCGTTCCTTGGTGAGGCGGGCGCAGAGGATGGGCCAGCACCAGGAGAGACCCCCGGGCCTCGGACCCTCCCTGGCGGGCCGTTGCCAGGCAGAGTAGACCACGCGGACGGGACGGGCCGTACGAGGGGAGGCCCTCTGCTTCGCGGCCGTGGTTCGGCAGGACCCGAGTGCTGGCCACTCCCGCCTGCAGGCCACTCGAGTCTGGTTTGGTCCAGGATGCTTAAGACACAGCCGTCTGCTGGCTTTGTCCAAGTGAGTTTGCTAAAATGTCAGTCTGCAGTTCTAGTAGTGACATTCGTGTTAATCAGGAGAGCTTTCTGATTAAGAATCTTGGGCGACCGTATTCTGCAGGGCGAACCTTTTCCAAGCAGCTTGCTGTTCGCAGTGAGTGTTGCAATAATCTGGTTTTCTTTTCTTTCTTCCTTTTTTCTAAGTCTGCCTGGCTTGGCACACTCCTCTTTCCGCAGGCTGTATAAATCTTTTGTGTGCATAATCCCTCGCCTGCGGGCGCGAGAAAGCAGAGCGGTTGCACAATCGGACACTGTCGCCTTGCAAAGGGCTTTCAGGCTCAGATCTTTGCAGTGCTGCTTGCTGGGCTGGCTTCAATGGGGGGGGCATGGGCAGGAAGGGGTGTGCGCGCATTTTTGCACTGGGGGGGTGGAATGTTTGTGGATAAGTGAGCAACAGACACTCGTGCAATCTGCAGGGGGGTGTCTTTTAATTTTCCTGATTCATGCCTTCCCACCCATTCCACCAAGAAAGCCCCCCCCCCAAATCCGTGGCTGATCCCTCCCGGCGCTCCCCTCCCGCCCGCCTGCCCAGCCCCTCCTGCCAGGAGCACCTTTCGCGGACAGGATGCGACCTGTGCGTTCCCGCAGAGCTCTTGCGTAGCTGGGATGGCGCCCGGCGGCAGGCTCCCTCGCGGGCGGTTCTGAAGCAGGCAGGTGGCTCGTGTGCCTGGGGAGCGATTGCGTGGCGAGGGGGGCGCCAGGGGGTTTCCCCTGGGGAGGCAGCCGGCAGCGACTGAGCCGTTGACCCGCTTGGACGGGCTGGCGGGTGGGGCGCGTGGATGGAGGCTCCTGGGATGCCAAGTCATGCAACTGCGAAAAACTCCATACTGGAGCCAGAGCTGTTTTTCTATCCTCGCCATGTTTCTAGTCCTTATGAACTGAGCTTGTAGACTGTGTGGGCACCGTCCAGTGCATGGCCGGTGGGGAAGGATGCCGTCGCCAGGGCCTCTGGAGGGCCACAGCTGGCCTGCAGCTGATCCGCGGGGGCCGTGGCAGCGCTGAGGCCTCCTTTCCGCTCCTCCGCCTGCCCCGTTCAGCCCCCTCCGTCTGGTTGCCTGCCGCAAACTCCTCAGGCACGGTGGGCCGGGCAGCATGGGGGACTCCATGGGGCCGGTTTGCCCTCACGTGCAGGGTGCTGCACAGGATGGGCCTCCCCGCAGGGCACTTGCTGTGCTCGGATGTGCTGGGGGCTGCCTTGGGCGGCTGGGACTGGGCCAGGCCTGAGCCTCGCTCCCTCCTCGGTGGCCTTTTGGGCCCAGGGATGGCTCTGGGCCGAACGACTCGGGGACACGCCGTGGCCGGCTGCTTCGCTGCGGCCCCCGCCCTTCGCCCTTGGGACTGGGCTGGCTCGCCGTGCAAGCAGGGCGCTGCCGTGGCCTGGCCAGAGCGGCAGGGGGCTGCACTGGGGAGGCCACTGCGTGCCAGTAGCCCAGGAGGCGCAAGGGAAGGGGCTTCGCGGGACTGGGGGCTTTCTCAGTGCAGCGGAGCCCGGCCGGGCTAGCTGGCTCTCAGCATGCGTCTCAGGTACCTGGCAGATCTGCTTTCGGAGACTCGGGACCCTGGAGTAGGGGGGCTGGGCACAGCGAGGGGGAAGCGGCTCCCCCGGCTCGGCTTCCTGCCTCATTCCCCTGGTCAGCCTCAAGGGGGGAGAGATAAGAAAGGAGACAGAGAGAGAGAGAGAGAGTGTGAATAGCACCCGTGGCCCTGCTGGATGCTAGACGGGTCAGAGCCGGCATCCGAGGACGCCGAGTGCCCACGCAGCGCTCTTCTCTTAAAAAGCAGGGCGGCTCTCCATCGAGGCATCCCACAGTGCCCCGCGGCGTGCGAGCGGGCGGCACGGGGGACCCGCAGACTGGAAGCAGCCCGCGGGTCTCCCAAGGCGCCCACGCTTTCTCCCGCGGGGGCAGAGGCAGAGGCGGTGGGCACTGGCAGGAGCGCCCGCCTGGGAGGGAGGCAGCTCCGCGGGCCCTGCAGCTCCCCAGCCCCTCGCGGGGCCTTCCCCCACCCAGCGCTCCGGGGGGGGGTGTCGGCCCCCGGCCCCCTGGGAGCCGCCCCCCCAGCCGCAGCCTGACCCCGCCTCTCTCCTGTGCCTTTCGACTAGTACTCCACGGAACTGAAGAAGCTGTACTGCCAGATCGCCAAGACGTGCCCCATCCAGATCAAGGTGATGACCCCCCCGCCCCAGGGCGCCGTCATCCGCGCGATGCCCGTGTACAAGAAGGCCGAGCACGTCACAGAGGTGGTGAAGCGCTGCCCCAACCACGAGCTCAGCCGGGAGTTCAACGAAGGTGAGTGGGTCGGCGCCTGCGAAGGGCGCTGGGAAGCCAGGGAGGCTGGACCGGACCTTCCTCGCCCTCCGCCGGCTGCCTCCTGCCGTGCTCCAGCCAGGGCTGGCCGCAGGGCGGACTCGGTCTCGTCGCTGGTCAGCAAGGCCAGGTGTCAGTCATGGTTGTCTGCATAATTCGCACGTCCGCCGTATCCGAGGGCGGAGGAGCATCCTTCAGACATTCCCATATTTCCTCCGGGGAAAGCATAATAGGAGGGACCTCAGGCTGGACACAGCAGACCCAACGACATGTGGGGTGTTCCGCTCGGAGGGGTCACTTTCAGTTTTGCCGCTTGCCCCTCCCGCTCTTGCGCAGATCTGTTCCACTCCCAGCAACCTTCTTCTATTCACTGCATCTTTTGAAACTTGGCACTTACGAGGTAGGGTTGATTCTGTGTACATAGACTTGCAAAGGAACCGTAGGGCTGAGGTCTTTTTCTCGACGCTGTATGTTTACTTAATAACATTTTGGCTGAGAGGAAGAGTCACGTGATCCCTGCAGACCCAAATCCACAGTTTTGAGCACTGCAAAACAAGCATCTGTGCTGATAGACATAGATTTTGTCTAGATAGAAAAATTGCCCAAGAATAGAAACCTAGAAACAGAGCGAATCCGAAAGGGGCTCTTGGGCCATCTAGTCTTACCCCTGGCTCCAGCTGGCTCTGCTTGTGACACGCCTACCATGCGCACATCCATTCTTATGGAAGCCTCTGGAAGAGCAGGGCATTGTGAATGGATTAATGGAATTTATTTACCAAAACGTTAGCCATTGCATGAATATACAGCCTCATGCCACATCATCAAAGACTAATCCTTATTTCATGATGATTAACCTTTGGGCCTAATGTATTTTAAAGAGAAAATTATTGTTAGATAGATTTTTTTTTCAGAGAGCATTTTATTTTTAAAAACCCAATTCAAATCAGAAATCCAGTTTACATTTTTAAAATCTGATCTTGTAATTATTTTTTTTAAATCACTGATTTGCATCCACCCTGTTTTAATGAGATTCCAGGATGGTGCGCTGTTTGATAATGTGGCCAACTAAGCTGGGAGCTTGGGGCAAAGTCACCATTTCCGCTGGAGCTCAGCTCGATGTTCAGTGGTTGCAGCCACGCCAGGAAGGGAAAGAGGCGGCGGCCGTAGCCAGGCGTGACCTAGCACCAGTGCGTGGGTTCTTGTGTTTTCACACGCACAGCAGCCACAAGGTCACTCTTAGAGCTGTTGTGAGCATTTGCAATGCAGGGGTCCGGGCAGTCAGTTCTCCTGCAGGATCTGCCTTCAAGGAGAGGCTTTTAAGTCCACGGCGGAGGCAAACCCTGGATGCAGCGGGGAGGACAAGTCCCCCCCCCCGCCAGATGTTTGCAGATTGTTGTGTGCATTTGCACTCAAACTGGAGCCTGACTTTTCAGTGTTCCTGCTTTGCTCAGTGGGGGGGGGGGCTGCGTGTGTTTACCATTTGCTCTTTCAAAATGGGGCTTTTTCGGTTTGAAATGCGCTCTCTTCCCGTGTGAACAAAACGCAGGAGCGCATCAAGTCCCACGCGGGGCAGGCGGAGGGGCGCTCGTCCCCTCCGCCCCTCATTTCGCAAATGCGACGTGACTCTGTAGCCCCCTCGCGCGCTGCCTGGCGCCGATTCGCAGCCCTGTCTCCCCGTCCTTTGAGCCTGGCGAAGGCGCTGCCTTGCCTTTGTACGCGTGGTGCAGTCACGCACTTTTTTCCCGTCCTGTGGCCGCGGCGAGGACAGAGTTACGCTCACGACACAGTCGGCGCTGCCCGTTCAGGTTCGGGCTGGGGGAAATGCTCAGCACTCCTCTTAATGCCTGGGGCCGCAAGAAGCACTCGGGCATCACGTGCTGCCGCAGGGAGGCCTCAGCACCCCGGGAAGGGGCGTGGGCGAAGGCTTGGAGGGAAGCCAGTGTATTCTCTGGGGTGCCGGTGGCAGTCTGCCGAGCCGCACCGCCTGCTGGGGAACATGGGTGGCAGGGAGCCCTTGCTCCCGCAGCTGCCCCAGGCACGGGGTTGCTCCCCTTGGCGGGTGGACAGGCCTCTGGGCGGCTCCGCTCGGGCTCTTCTTGGGCGGCTGCATTACGAATGGATGTGCGTCTGTTGCAGGGTGGGGGGACGGGTCTGATGTGGCTGCATCTTCACGTTTTGTCTGCAGCCATATCAGAGCGCGCTGGCATGTCAGGATGCCTTCAGAGGGGAGGATCGTCTTGCTTGCAAGTGCTCAGGTTGGAAAGGGCTGCGTTGGGGTGCAGAATCTGACACGAGGCCCGCTCTGGTCCAGCTGAGAATCTGGCACTTCATGCGGTTCTCCTGTTGCCTGTGCAGATTAAGATGGCTTCCCACCTCCTGCTGTTCCCCGACTTTCCTTTCCAGCGGGAAATGACAGCGCATTTAGAAGCCACTTGAGAACGTGGTGCCTTTAGGGCCTGAGAGTTTGCTGGCATTGTTTGCGTCATCGGGTGAAGGAGTCCGAGGAGCCCCCGGGTGTCCGGGGGACCTGCCAGGAGCAGGCCGGCCGGCTGGCCGGCCGGCCGGCCTGCCTGCTTGCTTGCTTGCTTGCTTGCTTGCTTGCTTGCTTGCTTGAGAGCGGTGCCCTCCCCGTCGCACGAAGGACACCAGGTGCTGGCGAGCGGAGAGCAGTGGGCACGACCGCCGTGCGGGTTCTTCTGAAGCGCCTCCCTCAGAATTGGGGAGCCGTTAGGAAACCAAAGAAGCCTGGAGACAAAGCGGCTTCGAGGGAGGAGCTGCTGTGAGCGCCCCTGTTCCGGGCCGTGCAGCCGGCTTGCCCCCTGAAGTCGGCCGGGCTGCCTTGCACGCTGACCCCGCTGTCTCCCTCCTACCTTTGCAGGCCAGATGGCTCCTCCCAGCCACCTGATCAGGGTGGAAGGAAACAGCCATGCCCAGTACGTGGAGGACCCCATCACCGGGAGGCAGAGCGTCCTCGTGCCGTACGAGCCGCCCCAGGTGAGCTGCGCCAGGAGGGCCCTGGGACTCCCCCGGAGCCACGTGACGCTTGGGGAAGGAGATGGGCTGCTCCGGAGTGAAGGGGCCGCTGCCCTTTCAAGGGGGGCAGAGCGGGGTCCCAGTGGCCCCTGCAGTGGTGAGCTGCTGTGGCGGGACGTCGGCATGCTCTGCTCCCACGTGCCCGGAGCTTGCCCAGCTTTGAGTCCCAAGAAGCGGGGGCCGATCGCACAGGGCAGCGAGATGCGGGCAGCTGCTTAAACAGGCCCAGCTGGATGAGCCTCTCCCAGGTGTTCACATTGTTAAAATTCAGTTTTAAATTTCTACTGACACGTTAAAGACTTTTTACTGGTATGCCGGTTTTACACTGGCGTGTTATCAATTGCGCTGCTGCCCGGAACGCATCAGCTCTTGGGCAGCATAGAAGTGCAATTAATAATAATATCCTGCAATAGGCACTCGATTTCTTAAAAGCCTTGATTCACTGCATGAGTTCCAATCCGTCGATCAAGTGAAGGCTGGCACGAGAACAGGGCCCGGTGCTTTGTGGGGCGTGAGGCGCATGTCCCGGTTTTGGCGGTTGTGCACGTGCCCGCTTTCCCTGCCCGCTGTGGCAGCCCAGTCTGAGCTCAGGCAGTCGGGCTGCTCATGGGTCACGGGCATCAAAGGGGCCCCTCTCTTTCCCTCGCCAGCGTGTTTTTGCATTGCTTTCGGGTTTTCCTCCCTTTCTTGAAAGGAGCAGTTTATCTTAACAGCACTTCAGCTCCTGAAGCATATTAATTGATCCTGAAGCATCGGAGGAACTGGAAGGCAGGCCGGGAGACCTCCTGCGGTCAAGGCTGGCTGTGCCAGGCCGAGCGGGGTGCCAGCGCTCGTTCGGACTTGGAGACGCTCCCGGGGCACCTCTGGCCCGGCGTGTGGCCCAAGGCAGAAGGGCCGGGCCACCACAGCAGCATAGTTTAGTTTGAAGCTGCAGGAGAGGCGTTCCTCTCTCTCGCTACCTTTGACATGCAAAGGCTGGAAAGCCACCAAATGGCCAGGAGAAAGAGGGCCACCCCCCTGGAAAACTCCGGAAGTCCAGATTGGGATCCCAAGAAGGCCTCGCTTGAGCCATGGGCCTGGGGTTGCCCCCCGCCCCCCCCCGGGCCAGTAGCCCAGATAGACCAGCAGCCTAGACCAGATGGCCTTGGAAAGGGGCGGGGGGAGGGAGGAGAGGCGAGACGCCTCCGGCCTTGTGTGGGCATCAGGCGCGTTCCCCGGTCGCAGGGCTGCCCTCCGTTCAGCCGGACCCACTGCCCGTTCTCTCCCCCAGGTTGGCACGGAGTTCACCACCGTTCTGTACAACTTCATGTGCAACAGCAGCTGCGTGGGCGGCATGAACCGGCGCCCGATCCTCATCATTGTGACCCTCGAGACGCGAGAGTGAGTGTCGGGCGCTGTGGCGAGCGGCAGCCGCCTCCGCCGCGCTGGGCAGGGAGGGCGCTGGGAAACCGAGCCTGTACTTCTCCACCGGGTGCCACCACCTGGGGAAGGCAGGGCGGTCGGCCTCGGGGGCGGGAGGTCCCGGGGGCTCCAACCAGCCGTGCCCCTGCCAAGGGTGGCCTGCACGGGCAGCGGCTGGCAGCGTTAAGCCCTCTGTTAGGCACAGCTCGGAACGGCCAGCCCTCGGTGTGCGGGGTTCGCGTGGGCCGGGCAGAGTGTGGCTTCCAGTCCGAGTTCCAGGGAAGGGGAGCTGGACCTGCCAGAGATCCTGTTTCGCTTAGGCTTAGGCTTAGACTTAGGGTGGTTCCCAGGCATCCTGCGAAACGGCTGTGCCCCCCGAGGGCCAGAGCCTCCCCCGGTTGTGAGCTCACGGATGTCCCTCTCCTGCGTCCTCAGTGGGCAGGTGCTGGGCCGCCGGTGCTTCGAGGCTCGGATCTGCGCGTGCCCCGGCCGGGACCGCAAGGCGGACGAGGACAGCATCCGGAAGCAGCAGGTCTCCGACAGCACAAAGAACGGTGATGGTACGAAGCGCCGTAAGTAGCCAGGCGCGGGAGCCGCTCCAGGCTCCGGCTGGGTGATGGGCGCGCAGGTGCTCGGCTCGCCCAGCCCCCTGCAGCAGGGGGAGGGAGGGCAGCCTCCGGGGCGCCTGTGGAGTGCGCATGCTCCAGGATTGCCAGAACCCCGGAGGGCAGGGCGGGCTGCCCTGGGTGACCGAGGGGCTTGCAGAATTGGGCGGCCCAGGAAGCAGCTGCTGGGCATTAGCACCCGGGGGGCAGACTCAGTCGGGCCCCTCGGAGGAACCGGTGGTGCCGTCCTCGGCGAGCCACCGGGCCGGCCTCGGTGCCGAGCAGCGCCTTCCCCCCTCCACAGAAATGGGAGGGTCTCCGTGAAGCCGTTATTTAGGTCCCGATAAATGCACAGAGCTGGGAAGGTTGACACCTGCCTAGTTCGGGAGGTGACGGGATGTCGGATGACTCGGCCGAACTGCCATGTTCAGGGGGTGCTGCGGGGGGCAGCAAGGTTGAGGGACTTTCTCGGGGCTCCTGGCTGGGCCACTGCTGGAAACGGGACGACGAAGGACCCGCTTCCATCCAGTGCCGCAAGGCTGCTGTTCGTTAGCGCCGCGCGTGTCCCGTCACTTGCCTTCGGCTCGGGTGGGAGAAGCACCGAATGCAACGTGCTCGGATTGGGAACTGGACGCGGCCCGTGGCTCTGCCCCCCACCCCGATTTAATTTTGGGGTTCGCGCGTCGCTCAGCCGCCGCGCTCGCGGTGTGCGTGCCGGGGGTGCCCTGCTCCATCTCCTGGCTGCCTCGGAGGAAGGCCGACCCTCCGAGCTGTGGGCCGAGGCAGGCGGAGGTTCCCTCTTGACGGAAGCCCCGGCGCGGCCCCACGGACGGGCAGCGGAGCCCTCGCTCCGGCCCAAGCCCCCTCTTGGCGAACGGCCTGTCCAATCGCGTGGCACGCAGGGTGGCGCCCTCGGCCCGGCTCTCTCGGTGGGGAGCTTTTCGGGCCTCGTGCCCATCCTGGGTTGAGGTTCCTCCGGAAGGACATCTCTGGGGGCATATGGCCCTTTGTGGGGTTAGTGGTTCGCATGCATTTAAGAAGCACACGTTGCGCATCGCACTCGGACACCCCACCAGATGCGCCCCCGACCCGTGAAGGGAGCAGCCCTTCTCGCCGGGGGGTTGCCAGGGCCGTTTGCCGGGCTGAACGTGGCCGTTGCCCCTTTTCTCGACAGCTTTCCGGCAAAGCACACACGGCATCCAGATGACCTCCGTCAAGAAACGGCGCACCCCGGACGATGAGCTGTTGTACTTGCCCGTAAGTGCCGCGCCACGTGGCTCTGGGGCATGTGCAGAGTGACTTGGGCCGACTTGGCATCAACAGGCCGCTCGTGCCTGCTCAGAAGCACTGAGAGCCTCTCCCACTGACTCGCCGTCGGTCAGGGCCGGCCAGCAGGGAGGGCGCATGAGTCCAGCATAGCGCTGGGGGGGACCGGATGCGCGGAGCACCTCCAGAATCTGGCGCAGTGGGGCAGGTCCGCCCCTGCTCCCAGACGCTGCCCGCATGCTGGTGCGCAAGGGGGGGGGGGGGCTGGCGGCAGCCCCCACAGTGTCCAGCTACCGAGGCTGCTCGGACCCTTCTCCCGCGCTCTTGTGTTCAAACCTCTGGTTTCCGCTGGTTCGGAACAGAAGAATGAAGGACCTGGAAGAGCCATGCAGAATCAGACCCATCCTGTCCTCCCAGTGGCCCCCCAGGTTCCCACAGGAGCCCCCAGGCAGGATGTGGGAGCCCCAGCGGCTCTGCTCCCCAGACCCTGGTGCCTAGCAGGCCTCCCCACATCCAGAGGGGAATGTTTATTCCCGATCCCTCCCCTGTCCCACCTGCTTCCCTAGACCAGAGCCCAGGAGGGTTTACCTGGTCCTCTTCCTCTCCTTGCTCAGGACAGCAGCCCTGTGAGGTAGGCAGGCCGGGGTTGGCAGCTGGCCCCAGGGGAGCTCGGGGCCCCGTGTCCCAGGCCGTGCCCTTAGCCACTGCTCTGGGGGAATTCACTGCCAGGCGCTTCCGAGAGCCTCGTGCTCCATGGGCCCCCCACTCGGCCTCCATAGCCGATCGAGGGGGGCGCCGGGCAGCCTGAATTCCTGGGCAGGCTGCCCCCTGGATCCGCCCGCATGCCCCAGCGCCTCTTGACGGCCCGTGATGCTCTCCCCGCTGCGCAGGTGCGAGGCCGGGAGACCTACGAGATGCTGCTGAAGATCAAGGAGTCCCTGGAGCTCATGCAGTACCTTCCGCAGCACACGATCGAGACCTACCGGCAGCAGCAGCACCAGCAGCACCAGCACCTGCTGCAGAAGCAGTGAGTCCGCGGGCGGGCCGGGAGGGGCTGGGGGGCGGGCGGGGGGTCTCTGGGAGCCGCAGGGGCCCCGCCCCGGGGCAGCATGTCGGGCGCACCCTCTGCACCTTGGCTGCGCCTGACAGAGCATGGCTGTCCGGGATTGCTTGTGTCTTGAGGACTAGCCTCTTGTGGAGTGAAGCTTGAGAATTCCCTGCTGAACCTCGGCAGTTGCCTTCCAACCGGGCGGCCTCTTCGGCACCCGGTGGGCTGTGTTTGGCTTGATTTTGTTCTTGGCATGCATGCATGCGGCTTTTCCAGTAGTTGGAAATGGCAAACCAGAGAAGAACACCCCATAACGCCCACGCCGAAATAAAATCAAGCATGGCACCGGCAGCAGCACATGGAAAAGCTGCCAAGACAGACCCAGAATCCCGATCTCGAGCCATCGCTCGGGTGGGAGCGGTGCAGAATTGCTGCCGAATTCCCCAGAGGAGCGGCGGCTTGTCCCTCTCGGAGGAGGGGAAGCCGCCGTGGCCCAGCCAGGCCGTCAGTCTGCTTCGCCCGCCTTCACCAACTGGTGGAGACCCTCCGGGGTGCACCCCCCGCCCCGGTCCGGAGATGCCGCGGGCTGGATCCGGGCTTTTGCGTGTGGCGAGTCTCCTCTTCCGCCGAGCTGCAGGCCGAAGCGGCGGCAAGGTTTTCCGGGGCAGGTAGAGGTGTCTGGGCCCTGCCCGTGCGCCCTGGGGCGCCTTTTTGTCTGCGCGGGAGCCCCCGATTCTCCCAGCTCAGCCCACAAGCCACGGATTCTGCAGCCGCTTCCCCAGATTGGAGAGGCAGGCCACTCCCACGGCCCTTGCCAGGTTCCCCAGGAGAGGCTCCATCTGCATTTTGTGGGGGGCTTTCGAGCCCACTCCAGGCCTGGAAGACCCCCCAAAGCAGGGGGGTCAGTAAAAAGGGGGGTCTCATGAGCAGAGTTACATGGAAGTAAATGAAGGTCCGGTGCTGCTGGCAGAATCGCTTTGGCGTAATGGCTGTGTTTGGCTCTCCGGGCCGGCAAACCCGTGTTTCGTTTGTTCCAAGTGGAAGCCGGCCCCGGCCGCCGGTGCCCGCGCCGCAGATCGGTCCAGCTGCTTAGTCGGGGGCGCTTCCTTCGGCAGCCCTCCTTCCAGGCCCTCTGCTCGAGCGGGCCTGTGGCTGAGCTTCGCCCGCGGCTCATGTGCGTGGGCGCTGTCAGGACGCTAAGGTCTGCCGCGCTGGAGGAACCCCGGCCCCCGTGCTGGGCAGTCGTCCTCCAGGGCCCCTTTGTCCTCCGACAGTTTTTACCCGGTCCTCCGAGCGATTGCCATGTGTTTCCATGTGCTAGAAGGACACGTGTGTCCCAGGCTAGAGATGGAGCAGCTTTTGCTGGTAGGAGGGGCCTTCAAACGGCCAAACCTGTTGAGTTGCATTTCTCCCTCCCATAGTCTCCCCTCCCCTCCCCTCCCCTCGCCTTCCTCCTCCTCCTTTTGTTCTCTGCTTTCTTGACGCTGATTTTTACGGGGTTTGCGGGGAGGATGAAAGCAAACACCCAACAAAAATGGCACCACGACCTCCACCGCACTCCCTTCTCTGTCTCCTCCCTGAAGTTGTGTGCGTGTGGCTATTTCTCGATAAGAGACGTACGGCTGCGCAAGACTGTGCAATTAATTGTCAGCCTGCGTTGCACACACCGTCAGCAACGCGAACGCAGCCGGGTGGGTCAAGGGAGAGAGAGGAAGCCGGGATGGCTCCGCGCCCTCGCTGTTCCCGAGCTTTAGCCCAGATCAGAGGCTTGCGTCAGGCGCTTGAGCCGCAGGCCACGAAGGGTGGCGTTCGGATGCCCTGGCAGCTCAGGCCGTGGGGGGGGGGTGGCACTCGACCACTCCTCGGCGTTGGCAGCGTCCTGGCCCGGCGGGGCCTCGCACAGGAAAGGGTCCCTGCTCTGTCCAGTTTTGGGGGACAGGGTCATCTAAGTCAGTAACTTTCCCTGCCGCCTGGAATTGTGTGTCGGAGCGCTTATCGTTGTGTGCACTTTGGGGCTAGAAGAGGAATTGGAGAAATGCTTTGGAAAATGACCTTTCGCAGCTAGGAATTAAAGAAAAGCCTTTAACTAAAGAACTGCATCCGGGGGGGTGGGGGGGCGGCGTAATGTTGGGGGCGGCTGTGCCAGAGCTGGGCTCAGCATCTCCCTTTTTGGCCTTTGCTCTATTCGCCTTGTTCTTCTTCTTCTTGCCCTCGACTTTTTCCATCTTGACAACTTTCATGATCACATTGAGATCTGAAACTAGATTTCTGTCCTCCTCTGCAGGCAAGAGGAATTGGTTCCTATAAAATGAGGTTTCTGTAAAAACTTTTCTGAGTGCAAGAAATTTGAATTTGCGAGGAAATTTGGCCTAGTTACTTTATTTATTTTACTCAAAAATACTTTGGGTTGCTTTTCAGCCCACCGGGATCCTCAAAGTAGATCCAGTACATCATAAAAACAAGACAGACCAAAACCAGAATTTTGGAAGCTCAATGATACCATTTTTATGCCCCTCTAGAACTTGGGTAGAATCTAGAACTGCCCTAACCCAGAGTCCCAAGGTGAAGCGCCGCTGCCAAAATCCCTTCTCACACCCACTAAGCAAACCAATCCTGGTCGTAAATCCAACAGTTCTCTAACGACAAACCTCAAATCACGCTCGGTTGCTTTGGAGTATTCTCTGATTTCGGTTTTCCGGGCCAAAACGCCGAGCAGCTGCGCCTGTAGACACCACTGCCGTTCTGCTGTGCTCTTGGCGGCAGCTGCTTTCGTTCCAGCTCCCGCCTCCACGCCGAATCCCACCGTCGCCGCTCCTGCCGTCCCTTCCCTGGACCAGCCACGGACCCCCCCGAACTAAACGCTCGGCAGTGCCGTGAATTGAGTTCCGTGTGCCGCCTCTGCTCCATAAACGGGTAGATGGCCATCCGTGGAACATTGTCCAAAAGGACGGGCCCTCGCCTTTGGCCACTCCGCGGACTCCTCTAGGCAGGGATTGGTGTGGAAGTAGCTGCACTTCCTCCCTGACGATTACTAAGCAGGATTATAAGAGGGTTTTTAAAAGCGTGCTTGCACCCTGCAATCGACCGGTAAGGCATGTTAAGAACTAACCGATCTGATGGGTGGTTTTCGGAAAATCCTGTCGCCAGCAGAGTGACCGATCCGTGTATGGCAACAGGACGGGATGCCCAGCCCACCCAGGTCGGGGTCTCCTCTGGAAGGTCGAGGCTGCAGCCTGTGCCCACTCGCCTGGGATTCGGCCCCACTGGACGTGGTGGCGTTTGCCGCGTCTCCACGCAGTCGTGCTCTCGGAATGCCGGATCTTGCGTGCGACCTCGGCAGGTGGCGCGGCCTGGCGGCACGTGCCGGCCGGCGTGAGACGCGGGTGGTCCGGCCAGGAGCCCCCTGCATGGGGAGCACGAGGCTTCGGTGGGGCGCTCTGGCCCACAAGCTGCCCCGTTGCCTCGAATGCTGGGTCCGGGTGCCTCGTGCTGTGTTCGCTTGGGGTTCGAAGAGGGCCGAGTGAAGCCCTGGGAAACGGCCTTTCGCAGCTGGAAACTGAAGAACAGCCGGCGCCAGATGCATGTCGGACGGCAGTTCCCATGATCCCCAGCCGGCATGGCCAGTTGCAGTCCAGCCCTTGTCAGGAGAGCGTGCTGTTGCCCGCTGCTGGCGGCTCACTCGCGCCCTTTCCTCTGCCTGCCTGGCTGGCCTTCCTCGCGTGCCTGCTCGCTCCGCATGGTTTGCTCCTGCCCCCCCCCCCTCGAATGCCTCCATGATCACTGGGGAAGCTGCCCCGGGAAGGGGGCCCTTCCGGAAGGCAGCAGGGCCGGGAGCCCATAGGACGGGGGGGCGGGTTCAGAGGCTGCTTTCACCCCCCTGCCCCACGGCACCCGGTCCGTTGCGAGGGGACCGCGTCAGACGCTGTGGTTCGAAGTCGGTCGGACGCGGTGGCCGGCGTCCCTTCCCCGAACGGTCAGACCGCCTTTGCGCGGCTTCGGCCCGTCAAGGTCCGCTGGGGCCCTGCTCCTGAGTGGGCTGCTGGGATCAGAATGGCCTTGTGCTGAAACGCACAGCGGCTGCGGGAGCCCAGAACTCTCGAGGCCCGACGTGTCCGGCCGCCTCTCGGATTCGTGGTAGCGAGCAAAGCGCTGGGCAGGCCGTGGCCACTTGGCACCCACCGTGCTGGCCCCAGTAGCCTCGCAGTGCAGCCTTCTAGGGCCTGACCCCCCCCCCCCCCCCCCCCCCCCCCCCTTTTCCGGGGTCCGTTCTTTATTTACCGCACGCTTTTATCGATGGCCGCAAGAGCCGTCTGGCTCCCTGGACGGCTTGCAGCGAGCAAGAGACAGTCAAACAGAGCACAAACCCCCCAGAACGAATAAATTCCTGGATTAGGAATGCAAGAGAGGCCCTGGGCTCTATCCAGCCCAGCATTCTGCTTGCACAGGGCCCAATCCACCACCCACGGGAGATGCCCGAGTGGGGCAAGAGTGGATCGGTGGCCTCCCCCCGTGCTCTCCAGCACCGGGTGCCCCACGGCACGTGCCTCTGATCCTCAAGGCAACATCAGAGCTAGGCTGGGATGCCTCCGCGGCTGCCGCCTCCGCAGGTTGGGCCAGTCCCCCTTAAAGTCATCCGGATCAGTGGCCGGCACGCAGCCCGTGGAGGAGCGCTCTGCGGCCTTGCTCTGCGCTGCGGGGTGGCTCCCTTGCTTGACCTGCCTCGGGTCGCCAAGCAGTCAGCCCTAGAAGGAGAGAGGCCGAGGTCTCCTGGTCTGCTTTCTGCCAAGGATTGGGCCCCGCAGTCATCTTTCCAGGGAACTCCCCCCTCCAGTTACGGGCCGGAGAGACTGGAACGTGCCGCCAGCAGGACGGGGGGCCCTGCCCTCCCCGCTGCCCAGCCACAGGTCCTTCCGGGGAGTTCTCCCCTCCGTGATCATGAAGGCATTCCTCTCCGTCGCCATGCAGTCGGCCTCCGTTTT